GAGTCTCATCTATTTTTGGCTTCTGCTGAGATAGTTGAGAGAATCCATGATTCACACATCCCTTCAAAGAGCCCTCTGGGTTCTTGAATGCTCTAACCTTTTGTATTTTCTATCATATTGCCTTCTCTGTGTCTCTGATCTATCCATTTCCCTCTTATATGGACCCCTATGATCACTCTGGATCCATGATAATTTCCATCTCAAGATCCTTAACAATCACATTTTCAAAGTCCCTCTTACTATATAAGGTAAGTATTTACAGGTTTTGGGAAGCCACCCACTGCTGAAAGTATCATGAGAGTGCACCAAGGAGCACAGAAGTCTGATGGACCTTGGGCCTTGGCAGGGCTGATGTTATGCACAGATTGTTCAATTGTTCGTGTTGAGATAGCGCTGGCTCAAGGCAATTTCCCTAACCTGACAATTCTTTTACTGTTTACCAAACTTTACCTTTGATATGCATGTATGCATTGCTAAAGGGAAAATGTGTATTCAAGTAAATAAAAAGCGGACCTGCCAGAGGTCAGTGTGCTCTTCATGAAAGAGACACCACCTTGGCCCCCACCCCTTAATAATTCATATTTCTTTTCTAGTATTTTCATTTGTGCATTCACCCTTCCTTCAGATCCTGAACCCAACCATGCAGGTTGTGGCAACAGGTTCCAGGGGACTAGGACATGGACATCTTTGTGGGGCCATTACTCAGCCTAACACAACAGAAAATAAACACAGGCACAACTAAAAGGATGCTAAGTATCCAAGACATTCATCAAGAGGGCATGGTGAAACACGCTGTTCTAAGACCTCTTCACCCTCTAAAAGACAAGAATTCCAACAAACAAAAGAGATAAAGTTTTCAATAAGGAAGTTCAAGGATTACTAAAAGCTCATAATGTTTAAGAGAACAAAGTCCAAATTAGTATTGTCTTCAAGGCCTTTAGAATATAGCCCTCACTTTCCTGTCAAGTCTCAATCTGCACCCTACTTACCAGTCAAAATAAGTTTTTTACCCTTTTCAGGAGATGCCCCACACTTTCCATTTGGCCTTTGTTCAGAATTGATTCCATCTGCAGTTCTTTCCCCCCAACTCTATACGTCAGCATTCCATTTCTTCTAGACCTTCATATAAGGGGAATAATAAAGAATTTTATTTTATGTCAAGCTTCTTTCAGTCAATATATATATTCCTCATTGTATCAGCAGTTTGTTCTTTGTATTGCTGAGTAGTATTGTGCTGTATAACTGTATCACAATTTATTATCTTACGGACGTTTGCATTGTTTAATTTAGGGGCTATTATGAATTAAGTTGCTATGAACATTTCATGTATAAATCTTTGGGTAGACAGTTTCATTTTTTCTTTGGTAAACATCTAGTAGTGGAATATCTTTGGTAAGGTATCTTTTCAACTATTTTGCCAATTTAAAAAATTTGGGTTGTTTGAGTTGCTGAGTTTTTTTTTCTATTTTTTGGACACAAGCTTTAAGTCAGTAATCTGTACTTACATTATTATGACTTGTGAATATTACTCATGGCTAAGTTTACAGAAAGTTTCCTTTCTCAAACTCCTTGCTTACCTTAGAGATAATAATTCTCCCTTTTCTTTTCTTGGAAACATCCTTTCTACAGCTGTCAGCACAATGAATGGAAATACTCACCCCCAACTTCATCTCTGAAATTTAATGCTCTTAAAGATAAAAAGAAATCCTAAAAACTTCCTGAGGTGGGGGAGACATCAAATAAGCAGGATTAGGAAAATGGCTTCAGATTTTTCAACAATAACACAGACAGCAGAAAAACAATGGAGCACTGCCTTCAAAATTACCTGGGAAAATGATTTCCAACTTAAAATTCTCCCCAACCAAACTTTTAATCAAGTATGAGGGTGGAATAATAGCAGTTTGCATTATTATGCAAAAGTCTAAAAAATATTAACCCTTATGGCATGTCAAGGAGCTATTGCAAAGTATACTCCATAAAACAAGAAGGAAGAAGAAATAGGATCTAGGAAACAGGGAATCAACCCAGGAGTGATGGGAAGTGGAGTACCAGGATGACAACTGTGCAGCAAGTCAAGAGAGGAACCAGCTCAGATTGAGATAGTAAACTGGACAGCTCTAGCAAGATAGATGATAGATAGATAGATAGATAGATAGATAGATAAGTAGATAGATACACACTACCTGAAATATTGACTGATGCTTTTGGATGCACTGAAAGGTTTACATGTCTTACAGAAAATGTAACTATAATCATTACAGAGAACACCAAAGCAAGCAAACAAACAAGCCAGAGGTAGGGGAAGGGAGATAATTACTATCCTTAGGATAAGCATGACGTTTACAAGAAATAAAACAAAATCATAGAATAACATAAGCTCAGCCATGAATAATATAACTAAGATAATAATTGTGTAAATGCTGATTATTGATTTAAAGCTTGTGATATGGGGACAACTATAATAGTATCAACAAAATAAATAAAGAAAAAAACAGAAAGCAAGAGATTCAAATAAAATGTTACAGAACCCTCCAGACCTACCCTGTAGCCACCTCCCAAGTTAATCAAATAACTATGTTGTGATATAACTGTGTTGAGAGGATGAAGGGTACCGAAGGATGCTCGTTGAGAATGTGTGGGGTTAAAGGTAAAATTTCCTTTTCCATACTAGAATAGCATCCAAGGTGGAAACATCAAGAAACAGTGTATGGGCATGCTATTTAGAAATGTGGGAGTATGCCCAGCTGGTATTGCTCAGTGGCTGACCCAGAAATCAGGAGGTCACAGTTCAATTCCTGGTCAGGGCACATGCCAGGTTTTGGCTTGATCCCCAGTATGGGGCATGCAGGAGGTAGCCAATCAGTGATTCTCTCTCATCATTGATGTTTTTATCTCTCTTCCTCTTCCTTCCTCTCTGAAATAAAAAAATATATATATATTTAAAAAAAGAAAAAGAAAAATGTGGAAGTAAATACCAGGAAAAAACTGTTGAAAGAATTAAAAATGCATATTCCTGGAATGTGGACTTGAGGAGGGGCTGGACAGAATGTGGGGATACATGGAACAGACTGACAGCTGTCAGAAGGGAGGCGGGTTCTGGATGAAAGACGATGAAGGGATTACCCAAGGAGCATATATGCATAACCCATAGACACAGACAACAGTGTGGTGATGGCCAGAGGGAAGGGGGGGGGGGCTAGGTAGAGGAGGGCAAAGGAGGTGGTAATGGGAACATCTATAATTGTTTCAACAATAAAAATAAAGAAAACCAAAAACAAGAGATTCAAATAAAATGTTGTAGAACCCTAGACCTCCCCTGCAGCCACCTCCCCTGTAATCAAATGCCTGCCAGACGGTCAGAGTTCATAGCTATCATTGCTGGGAAAATTGAGTTGGCCCTCCACGAGGAATTCTGCTAATCCTGGCATCCTAGCTCTCTACACTGATTGTCTCCAGGATTGCACATCAGTCAGGGAGGGAGATGGTGGCCTCAACAAGTTCCTTAACTTCCCTGGTTTTCTTCATCTGTTAAATGGGGATGATAAACCTGGCTCAGAGGATGTTGTGAAAAATAATGAAAACGATGCAGAGTTCTGGGCACACAGAATAGCTCAATAACATTAGTTTGGGTAATTATTATTGCCTGAAAACAAACAACCCACTCATCACTAACAGGTGGAAAAGAGGGTGTCTGCTAAAGTGGGCATCATTTGGGGCCAGAAAAGTCTTTCTTGGGCTGACTGCACCCTCCTCTCCTGTTCTCCAACCTCCCTGCTTCGGGGCTCCCTCCTCCTTGGCTCAGGCCAAGATTCGCCAAGAGCTGTGTCCCTTCCTGGGTGATGTCCCAACTCAGCTCTGGAATTGACTCAGGAAGTGGGGCGGACAAGGAGCTAGGTGTTACACTGAGGCTAGCAGGTGGTGTATTGAGTTCAGATGTTCCAGATTATGACCTGCTGAAGGAGGAGGCACTACCTATTTACGGGATCAACATGACCCAGGGGTAGATTTCTGCATCTAGTTGCCACTTGATTGAAGTTGCTGTTTCACACACCCACACAAACACAAAGGAAGGCTTTTGCTTACAGATGCTAATGTGGGTGTGGGCTGCGTCTTCCTGGTGCAATGCCTAGGGAAGGAGTCCTCTCCCCGCCAACAGCCAGCTGGAAGTGGAGAAGAACAGGGTAGCAAACACCCATTCTATACTTGGGGCGGAGATCACTAACTTTCCCAGGACTGAACTCTTGGTGGTTATTTTTAAACAGTGTCCCAGGAAAGCAAAGCGGGAACTTAGGGCAGTAATCCTCAACTCAAGTCCTTATCTAGATGTCCAGACTCTGGGTGTGAAAAGGGCGACAAACTGTGAAATGCCTAGGCACCCACTCAGAAAAAACCACTAGTGGTTTAACGCATTCCAGTCCTGCCCAGGTCAGCTGGGGTGGGGTGGGGCAGCTTATGGTAAAAAGGGGAAGCCAGTCCAGCATGCTCTCCAAAGTCCCCGCGATGGCTGCCCAGGGCTGCGCACTGTCCTGGGTGTCGCTCCGGCTCCCTGCGCTGCTGCTGCTGCCTCTGCTGCTGCTGGCGCCCGGCTCTGCGGGAGCCTCCGGCGCGCGGTGGAGCGGGGAGGGTACCACCCCGCACCTGCAAAGCATCTTCCTGGGCCGCTGCAC